CAAACAACGTGCCATGAGACCCTTATGAGAATTTTCAAACGTGCCATGAGACTCTTTTGAGAATTTTCAAACAACGTGCCATGAGACTCTTTTGAGAATTTTCAAACAACGTGCCATGAGACCCTTATGAGAATTTTCAAACGTGCCATGAGACCCTTATGAGAATTTTCAAACGTGCCATGAGACCCTTATGAGAATTTTCAAACGTGCCATGAGACTCTTTTGAGAATTTTCAAACAACGTGCCATGAGACTCTTTTGAGAATTTTCAAACAACGTGCCATGAGACCCTTATGAGAATTTTCAAACGTGCCATGAGACCCTTATGAGAATTTTCAAACGTGCCATGAGACCCTTATGAGAATTTTCAAACGTGCCATGAGACTCTTTTGAGAATTTTCAAACAACGTGCCATGAGACTCTTTTGAGAATTTTCAAACAACGTGCCATGAGACCCTTATGAGAATTTTCAAACGTGCCATGAGACTCTTTTGAGAATTTTCAAACAACGTGCCATGAGACTCTTTTGAGAATTTTCAAACAACGTGCCATGAGACCCTTATGAGAATTTTCAAACGTGCCATGAGACCCTTATGAGAATTTTCAAACGTGCCATGAGACCCTTATGAGAATTTTCAAACGTGCCATGAGACTCTTTTGAGAATTTTCAAACAACGTGCCATGAGACTCTTTTGAGAATTTTCAAACAACGTGCCATGAGACCCTTATGAGAATTTTCAAACGTGCCATGAGACCCTTATGAGAATTTTCAAACGTGCCATGAGACCCTTATGAGAATTTTCAAACGTGCCATGAGACTCTTTTGAGAATTTTCAAACAACGTGCCATGAGACTCTTTTGAGAATTTTCAAACAACGTGCCATGAGACCCTTATGAGAATTTTCAAACGTGCCATGAGACTCTTTTGAGAATTTTCAAACAACGTGCCATGAGACTCTTTTGAGAATTTTCAAACAACGTGCCATGAGACCCTTATGAGAATTTTCAAACGTGCCATGAGACCCTTATGAGAATTTTCAAACGTGCCATGAGACCCTTATGAGAATTTTCAAACGTGCCATGAGACTCTTTTGAGAATTTTCAAACAACGTGCCATGAGACTCTTTTGAGAATTTTCAAACAACGTGCCATGAGACCCTTATGAGAATTTTCAAACGTGCCATGAGACCCTTATGAGAATTTTCAAACGTGCCATGAGACCCTTATGAGAATTTTCAAACGTGCCATGAGACTCTTTTGAGAATTTTCAAACAACGTGCCATGAGACTCTTTTGAGAATTTTCAAACAACGTGCCATGAGACCCTTATGAGAATTTTCAAACGTGCCATGAGACTCTTTTGAGAATTTTCAAACAACGTGCCATGAGACTCTTTTGAGAATTTTCAAACAACGTGCCGTGAGACCCTTATGAGAATTTTCAAACGTGCCATGAGACTCTTTTGAGAATTTTCAAACAACGTGCCATGAGACTCTTTTGAGAATTTTCAAACAACGTGCCATGAGACCCTTATGAGAATTTTCAAACGTGCCATGAGACCCTTATGAGAATTTTCAAACGTGCCATGAGACCCTTATGAGAATTTTCAAACGTGCCATGAGACTCTTTTGAGAATTTTCAAACAACGTGCCATGAGACTCTTTTGAGAATTTTCAAACAACGTGCCATGAGACCCTTATGAGAATTTTCAAACGTGCCATGAGACCCTTATGAGAATTTTCAAACGTGCCATGAGACCCTTATGAGAATTTTCAAACGTGCCATGAGACCCTTATGAGAATTTTCAAACGTGCCATGAGACCCTTATGAGAATTTTCAAACGTGCCATGAGACCCTTATGAGAATTTTCAAACGTGCCATGAGACCCTTATGAGAATTTTCAAACGTGCCATGAGACCCTTATGAGAATTTTCAAACGTGCCATGAGACCCTTATGAGAATTTTCAAACGTGCCATGAGACTCTTTTGAGAATTTTCAAACAACGTGCCATGAGACTCTTTTGAGAATTTTCAAACAACGTGCCATGAGACCCTTATGAGAATTTTCAAACGTGCCATGAGACTCTTTTGAGAATTTTCAAACAACGTGCCATGAGACTCTTTTGAGAATTTTCAAACAACGTGCCATGAGACCCTTATGAGAATTTTCAAACGTGCCATGAGACCCTTATGAGAATTTTCAAACGTGCCATGAGACCCTTATGAGAATTTTCAAACGTGCCATGAGACCCTTATGAGAATTTTCAAACGTGCCATGAGACCCTTATGAGAATTTTCAAACGTGCCATGAGACCCTTATGAGAATTTTCAAACGTGCCATGAGACCCTTATGAGAATTTTCAAACGTGCCATGAGACCCTTATGAGAATTTTCAAACGTGCCATGAGACCCTTATGAGAATTTTCAAACGTGCCATGAGACCCTTATGAGAATTTTCAAACGTGCCATGAGACCCTTATGAGAATTTTCAAACGTGCCATGAGACTCTTTTGAGAATTTTCAAACAACGTGCCATGAGACTCTTTTGAGAATTTTCAAACAACGTGCCATGAGACCCTTATGAGAATTTTCAAACGTGCCATGAGACTCTTTTGAGAATTTTCAAACAACGTGCCATGAGACTCTTTTGAGAATTTTCAAACAACGTGCCATGAGACCCTTATGAGAATTTTCAAACGTGCCATGAGACCCTTATGAGAATTTTCAAACGTGCCATGAGACCCTTATGAGAATTTTCAAACGTGCCATGAGACCCTTATGAGAATTTTCAAACGTGCCATGAGACCCTTATGAGAATTTTCAAACGTGCCATGAGACCCTTATGAGAATTTTCAAACGTGCCATGAGACCCTTATGAGAATTTTCAAACGTGCCATGAGACCCTTATGAGAATTTTCAAACGTGCCATGAGACTCTTTTGAGAATTTTCAAACAACGTGCCATGAGACTCTTTTGAGAATTTTCAAACAACGTGCCATGAGACCCTTATGAGAATTTTCAAACGTGCCATGAGACCCTTATGAGAATTTTCAAACGTGCCATGAGACCCTTATGAGAATTTTCAAACGTGCCATGAGACTCTTTTGAGAATTTTCAAACAACGTGCCATGAGACTCTTTTGAGAATTTTCAAACAACGTGCCATGAGACCCTTATGAGAATTTTCAAACGTGCCATGAGACTCTTTTGAGAATTTTCAAACAACGTGCCATGAGACTCTTTTGAGAATTTTCAAACAACGTGCCGTGAGACCCTTATGAGAATTTTCAAACGTGCCATGAGACTCTTTTGAGAATTTTCAAACAACGTGCCATGAGACTCTTTTGAGAATTTTCAAACAACGTGCCATGAGACCCTTATGAGAATTTTCAAACGTGCCATGAGACCCTTATGAGAATTTTCAAACGTGCCATGAGACCCTTATGAGAATTTTCAAACGTGCCATGAGACCCTTATGAGAATTTTCAAACGTGCCATGAGACCCTTATGAGAATTTTCAAACGTGCCATGAGACCCTTATGAGAATTTTCAAACGTGCCATGAGACTCTTTTGAGAATTTTCAAACAACGTGCCATGAGACTCTTTTGAGAATTTTCAAACAACGTGCCATGAGACCCTTATGAGAATTTTCAAACGTGCCATGAGACCCTTATGAGAATTTTCAAACGTGCCATGAGACCCTTATGAGAATTTTCAAACGTGCCATGAGACCCTTATGAGAATTTTCAAACGTGCCATGAGACCCTTATGAGAATTTTCAAACGTGCCATGAGACCCTTATGAGAATTTTCAAACGTGCCATGAGACCCTTATGAGAATTTTCAAACGTGCCATGAGACCCTTATGAGAATTTTCAAACGTGCCATGAGACCCTTATGAGAATTTTCAAACGTGCCATGAGACTCTTTTGAGAATTTTCAAACAACGTGCCATGAGACTCTTTTGAGAATTTTCAAACAACGTGCCATGAGACCCTTATGAGAATTTTCAAACGTGCCATGAGACTCTTTTGAGAATTTTCAAACAACGTGCCATGAGACTCTTTTGAGAATTTTCAAACAACGTGCCATGAGACCCTTATGAGAATTTTCAAACGTGCCATGAGACCCTTATGAGAATTTTCAAACGTGCCATGAGACCCTTATGAGAATTTTCAAACGTGCCATGAGACCCTTATGAGAATTTTCAAACGTGCCATGAGACCCTTATGAGAATTTTCAAACGTGCCATGAGACCCTTATGAGAATTTTCAAACGTGCCATGAGACCCTTATGAGAATTTTCAAACGTGCCATGAGACCCTTATGAGAATTTTCAAACGTGCCATGAGACCCTTATGAGAATTTTCAAACGTGCCATGAGACCCTTATGAGAATTTTCAAACGTGCCATGAGACCCTTATGAGAATTTTCAAACGTGCCATGAGACTCTTTTGAGAATTTTCAAACAACGTGCCATGAGACTCTTTTGAGAATTTTCAAACAACGTGCCATGAGACCCTTATGAGAATTTTCAAACGTGCCATGAGACTCTTTTGAGAATTTTCAAACAACGTGCCATGAGACTCTTTTGAGAATTTTCAAACAACGTGCCATGAGACCCTTATGAGAATTTTCAAACGTGCCATGAGACCCTTATGAGAATTTTCAAACGTGCCATGAGACCCTTATGAGAATTTTCAAACGTGCCATGAGACCCTTATGAGAATTTTCAAACGTGCCATGAGACCCTTATGAGAATTTTCAAACGTGCCATGAGACCCTTATGAGAATTTTCAAACATGCCATGAGACCCTTATGAGAATTTTCAAACGTGCCATGAGACCCTTATGAGAATTTTCAAACGTGCCATGAGACCCTTATGAGAATTTTCAAACGTGCCATGAGACCCTTATGAGAATTTTCAAACGTGCCATGAGACCCTTATGAGAATTTTCAAACGTGCCATGAGACTCTTATGAGGATGCGATGTCTGTTTTTGTCATGGAAGCTAACCTCTCTGAAATTCATTTGAAGGAGAAGAAGAAGGAGATCGACGAGAAAAAGGCAGCTGCGGCAGAAGAAGCTGATAACCTCCCGGTGGATCCTACCGTGCGTGAGATCGCCAAGCAGGAGGTTGAGAAGGCAGTCGCGAAGCTCAAGCCGATCAACAAGTCTACTCCTAACCGCTCTGTTAACAACGGCAAGAGGAAAGCAACGGCTGGCAAGAAGAAGGTCTTCCCGGTTAAGAACAACCGGAACGCTACCGTCGCAGCAGCCAAGAAGCCGAAGAAGGTGCAGTCGCAGCCTTACAACGGCAAGCAGCAGCGTACGACAGGTCCCGGAAAGAAGGATGACAACACCACTCACCGTGCAAACAAGACGATGGGTCGCTCCTTCTCCAAGACGGCCGGGCGCAGTGCTACTCACCCTAAGAACCGTAACGCAACGGCAAAAAACGGGGGAGGTGCCGTCCGCGGAAGAACGAATCGACAGTAGCGGCGGATGTTCACTCCTACGCACTTATTCTTTTCGGCCGACAAACCGAGAACCAGCTGCGTAGCAGAGTGACTAACCGCGGCATTCACAACTTCAGTGATCATGTCTTCACCCGCGACGAACTTAACCTGCTGAGCTTGGGTCTTAAATTCATCCCCATCCCGTCCATCCGTAGCATTGCTAGTTTAGAAGCTGAGCTGTCGTCTTTCTGTAGAAGCGTGAGAACGATGTATCTCTGTGGTGGAATTGATTTCGTTTCTGATTACCCAGGCTATAAGCTCCCAAGGAGAGCTAACTGGAATCCGCCATTGGCCTCCTCCGAGATTGAAACGGCCCTCGCGGTCTTTAAGGACTCGGTGATTAAGGACATCAATGGTCAAACGATACGATCCCGCCTCCGAAAGAATGTCACTCCTATGCTTCAACGGCTCGCTAAACATCCAAATCTAATCTTCAAACCTGCAGATAAAAATCTCGGCCTTACGGTTATGAGCAAGGACTACTACCAAGAAAAGTGTTTTCAACACCTTCTTAATACGAAAGTCTACAAAGAGTACTCTACCGTTCCGCTCGACGACATTCTGCAAGGCTTACATTCCATTCATTCCGACTATCAGCCTCTTTTATCTAAGAGGGTCTGGAACTCTTTCTTCACTGAACCAAATGGCGGATGGAAAATTCCCGCTTTTTACGTCTTGCTGAAGATTCATAAAAAGGTTCCGGCCGGTCGACCTATTGCAGCTTGCCATTCGTGGATTACCTCCAATGTTTCCCGATGGCTTGATACTATTCTACGACCGCTGGTCATTCAACAGTCAACTTACATCAAGGACTCTCAGAGTCTTATTTTACTGCTGGAACAACGGCGCTACTCTAAGAATCTACTTTTCGCCTCCTATGACGTGGAATCTTTATACCCGTCTATTCCTTTATTGGATGGCATTGACGCTGTTTCATACTTTCTCCAGAAGGCAAGACACCCTTTAGCTCCTCTCGCCACTCGGCTATTACGTTGGGTGATGTTCAACAGCTACGTCTCCTTCAACGGCAGATTTTTCCGCCAGATTCATGGCACAGCTATGGGAACCTCAGTCGCTGTCTGCTTCGCGGTTCTTTTCATGAGCTTCTTGGATATTCAACTCCACTCTCTCCTCCCTTCACCTCCTGCTCTGCACCTTCGTTTCATCGACGACGGTTTGATTTTGTGGGAAGGAACGCGGGAAGATTTTCAACGGTTGAAAGCGCGGTTTGACACGCTTCATCCTTCTATTCGTCTGACTTGGGTCGTTTCTGAAATTTCCATTGACTTTTTGGATGTTACCTTCTTCAAGGGGGAACGCTTCAACAGCTCTGGAATTCTGGACCTGAAGCTCTTTCAGAAACCGATGAATCGGTATTTGTATTTACCCTTCAAGTCATATCATACCCGTACTACGAAGATGGGCTTCATCCGCAGCGAGTTACATCGTTTCCTGCTTCGCTCATCATCCCGCTCCGATTTCTTTAACTCCCGGGCCCTTTTCTTTGCTCGACTTCGAGCACGAGGGTATCCAGAGAAGTTTCTTTTACCAATTTTCAAATCGGTCACCTTCGCCTCTCGGTCAGTCCTCCTCGCTCGTGCTTCTTCACTTCGTGATTCTCCTAAACGTGGCCCCCTTGTGCTGAAATGTTTACTCAACCCATTGGTTGACCATTCGCACCTGGGGAAACTTTTGAGTCGACTCAAAAGTCACCTCGTTACAATGGCACACGACACTTTTTCATCAAGGAGAGCACTTATAGCTTGGAGACTTCCTAAGAGAGTTGGGAATTTTTTGATTTCTGCTAAGAAATGCTAGGTACAGTAGCTTTTTACTGTTAGCCTTTTATCGCATTTGCTTGTACATGTCTCCTTGTCCCCCGCGAGGATTCTCCCGCGTGTTGGGTTTTGTGTGACATTTCCTAGGCCTATAAAGTAGTGCCTGATCCGTAGATTGCTTGTGGTCTGAAGAAGGCGTTTCCACGCCGAAACCGGTTACCATCACAATTTCTCACAAGCGTTCTTTCTACGCAAACACAATCACCTACCTAGGTGTCTCAAATCAATACATTGCTGCCACGTATTGACCCATGGCCTCTAAGTGGGGCTCGATTGGATTCCACTGAGCGCCGTTTCCGTACCTTTCTTTTCGGTCGCGCTCTTTACTTATTTCTGTTCGTTGGGTCGTTTATCATCCTACTAAAGTCGGAGTTGTCGATCCTCACTCTCTGCATGTCTCATGTGTTGCGATTAAAAATCATACACAAAATGTATGCATATGTTGTATTTAATATAATGTTTCATCTCACCTCCCTTTTGCACCACTACATGAAAGGGTGTGGTCTAATTTACGCTGTGTTATATTCTGAAAATTGTCCTTCATAATTTCACCATGTTCCACCTCTAATGACCCAATCCAATTCGTCCCCCCATTCTTTCCCCAACTCTCTCCCCCCATGCACACACCAAGGGGCCGTGCTGATATACACGCAGTCCTACTTTGAGTTTGTGCGCCTTCTTTAAGCAAGAGAATTTCTCCTTCTTTCGCCCTCACTCTTTCCCCCCACCCACTCACGCGCACACCAGGGGGGCGTGCTGGTATACACGCAGTCCTACTTTGAGTTTGTGCGCCTCCGAAACTTCTTCAAGCAGGAGAATCTCTCCTTCTGCCTCCTCTCTGAGTAAGCACCTCTTTTGACGCGCCTCAAATCAGAAACCATTGTTGAGTAGCCTTTAATAAAAATCGTTGTCGCCTTTCACCATGCTTCATCTTGCAATGTGCACCAGGCGAGGCCGTGGTTCTTCCAGGCTTCGAGCTTCACCTTGTTCCATCCCTCCCATTTCTCTTCTCTTCCCTCTCCCCTCTCTCCTCCTCCCCCCTCCCCCCTCCCCCCTCCCCCCCTCCCCCCCTCCCCCCTTCCCCCACAGGTACATGGATGAGCGCAATGTGCACCGGGCGAGGGCGTGGTTCTTGCATGTTTTGAGCCTTGCGTTGCCCCATTCCCTCCCGCTTCCCCCTCTTTCTTCCCCTCCTCCCCCTCACCCCCCCCCTTCCAGGTACACGGACGAGCGCAACGTGCATCGGGCGAGGGCATGGTTCTTCCAGAACCGGCGGCGCATCATGCTCTACTCAGAGCGATCGCACTTCTACCACCGCTACCGGGTACCCACCCCACTCACTTGCTGTTTTAAGACGTCTCAAAACGAATCTCTCAAAACGAATCCCTCAAAACGAATCATGCTGTACTCGGAGCGGTCGCACTTCTACCACCGCTACCGGGAACTGGCACTGGCAGGGCACACACCCACCATGCTTGTCGCTTGAGAATTCTTGAAAGTGATACATTACAAGCAGATGCTGAATTATGCTGTACTCAGAGCGATCACACTTCTACCACCGCTACCGGGTAACCCACTCACTTGCTTGCAAGGTCTCACCTCTTTCCTGAACCACAATACCCACCGCTGTCGGGTACCCACTCACTTCCTTTCGCCACATTTGATGTCCTACCTTTGCACTTCTAGCTGGATGCTTCTCATTGGTTCATTCAGAGGGATCACACTCCCCACTGCTACCGGGTTACCAGACACTTCTTGTCACCAAGTTTCCTGTTAGGGTTACTGCTGGCTGTTAGGGTTACTGCTGGCTGTTAGGGTTACTGCTGGCTGTTAGGGTTACTGCTGGCTGTTAGGGTTACTGCTGGCTGTTAGGGTTACTGCTGGCTGTTAGGGTTACTGCTGGCTGTTAGGGTTACTGCTGGCTGTTAGGGTTAACGCTGGCTGCTAGGATTACTACGGCCTGTTAACTGTTATGGTTACCGCCAGTGCTGCTATTTGTATTTCCAGGTTCTACCTCCCCTTCCTATTCCCCACCCTGCCATTTCCCCTCCCTGTCTGCGATCTCCCTCCCTACCATCCCCCTCCCCACTGCCGCCCTGCTTACCAGATCCGGGGCATTCGGGAAGTTATATTCTACTCGCTCCGTGCTACCCGCATTTCTATGCAGAGGTGCGTGTGTGCTGCGGCTTGTGGGGTGTTTTACCACACGGCTGATGTAGCCTATTTTTTAGTCGACTCAAAAATAGACTCATCAGGTGCGTGTGTGCTGTGGCTGGTGGGGTGGGAAAACACGGCTGATGTAGTTGCCATAAAGCCCCTCTCTTGCCTTGCCCTTGCCTTCCCCTACCCCCCTCCCACTTGTTTCTCCCTGAACCCCTCATCTCGGATATTCAACTTGCTGGAAAAGGTGTGCAGCGAGGCTGATAAAAGGACCCTTAAAGCCCCTCTTCTCTTCCCCTAAACCCCTCTCCGCAGATCCTCAACCTACTGGAAGGGGCGGACAATGCCTCCTGCTCCGCCATCGTCACTCTCGTCCTCTGAACCCCTCAAATCATACCCCTTCCTTGTCTCTCCCTGAACCCCTCGTCACAGATCCTCAACCTACTGGAAGGGGCGGACAATGCCTCCTGCTCCGCCATCTTCACTCGCTTCAATAGCCTCCCCTCATGAATCTCTTCCCCTGAACCCCTTACCTCAAACCCCCATCCCTGGTCCATCTCTCTCCCCGTTCCCCTCATCTTAGATACTCAACCTGCTGGAAGGGGTGGACAACGCGTCTCATGCAGTCCCTTTAAAGGCCTCTTTTGCCACTGCCTTCAACACCTGCTCTCCCCGAACCCCTCATCTCAGATCCTCAAATCTGCTGGAAGGCGCGGACAACGCCTCCTGCTCCGCCATCTTCACTCGCTTCCTCTGACCCCCCCCTTCTGTCTTCTCTTCTGCTGAACCCCTCACCTCATACCCCCTCCTTGTCTCTCCTTGAACCCCTCTTCGCAGATCCTCAATCTGCTGGAAGGAATGGACAAAACCTCCTGCTCAGCCATCGTCACTCTCTTCAATAGCCTTCCCTCCTGAATCTCTTCCCCTGAACCCCTTACCTCAAACCCCCATCCCTGGAACATCTCTCTCCCTGAACCCCTCTCCGCAGATCCTCAACCTGCTGGAAGGGGTGGATAATGCCTCCTGCTCCGCCATCTTCACTCGCTTTGATAACCTGGAGGTCAGCCTCTGCTTTGCACCCCCCCTCTCATGCACACTCACTCACTTTTTCACACTTTAATATCCTCGAGGTCAGCCTCTGATCTGCACCCCCCTCTCATGCACACTCACACACCTTCTCACACTTCGATAATCTGGAGGTCAGTCCGGTCATTCCCTCGCTTGCGCACTCACACTTGCTCCTGTTTCCACTCAAGCTCCCTGTTGCCCACTTGCTCTTCTGTCCTGCTGCCCTCTTGCCCGTATCCTCTACTGCCTTTTCAAGGCAGCCTCATGGGTGGGTGGGCCCTTGTGGATTATTGACATAACAGCACCCATTGATCCTCTTATCTCTATTCCAACTGTGGGGTGTACATGCGTGTGTCTTGCTGGATGGAAAATCGTATCAAATGATGACAGCTGGCAAGGATAGTGGGATCTTCTAGAAGCACCAGGATGCTGCAATCACCCAACCACACCTTCATGTTCTGCTGATGGGTCACCCACACGTTTATCTCTGCTGATAGGTCAGGGCAACTGTATGTGGGCAGTAAACAGCCCTAATTCATGTTCAGCTTATGCTTTCTTTGTAATGTAGCTTATGCAAATATATTACCGTAGATAAACTAATACCTTGTGCTTTCCTATGGCAGCTGCCAGCTGAATCAACAGTATCTCTTCGGCGTGTGACTGCTTGTCAGCGTTGCTGGATATTTAGAAGGTATGTAATGAATGGCTAAATTCTTCCATGTTTTTATCGAAGGCAATGTAGTTGCAACATTACTCTTAAAACTGGATTCACCAATCATTTATTACAATAACTGCACCCGCAATGTGTGGGCACTACGGCAGCACACCTTCGGTCTGATGAAAAGAGGCAGAAACACGGGACGCGCCCAGCACGTCCGTAACCTGTCGCCGTTCCTCCTCGTCTAAGTAGCTACCTACGAGGTAATTACCGGTAACTGCTAGTTTTTGACCGTTACATTACATCCATCCGGCGATGAACGAAGCAAGGCCTTTGCGAGAGCTCTTCGCCTTTGCCACACTGCTGGAACCAGAAACCTTTTCCGAAGCTTCGTCGGCGCTGCTGTGCTTGCTCGTCTTGCCAAAGAATCCCTTCTTTGAGTGGTGTGCAGGCGCTTTGGCAGCCTTCACTGGCTCGTATTTCGCGCGGTACGAGGCGGCGAGCTCGTCGTGCTGGCACGGCTGCGCGGCCGCCGGGCAGCCGCAAAAATCATCTGCTTCCGCTGAGCAGTCGTGCGAAAAGTCCTCAAAGGTTCGGTTCATCCAGTTAGCCGCTGCGACGGCCTGCTGCGTCTCGACGACGGCGAGGGCCGCGTTGCGAATTCGCGAACGAGCGTCGTCGACCCACACCGGGTCGCACGCGAGCTCAGCTTCCCAGCACGACGCGCCGCTGCTGGCGCGACTCCCGTCCGATGAATTGGAGTCTAGGGAGAACCGCGAGGTATGATAACGGTCCGAGTCAGAATCGTAGTCGTCAGCGTCGCTCGCGCCGCAACCGCTGGCGTAGAGGTTTTCGGCGCGAGTGGAAGGGTACAGAGACGTATAACGTTCCCATTGGCTGTCGATATCTGCGTCCCAAGGCGAGGAGATCGCCGCTGCTGTTCCTGTGTGATCCATTGTTATTGAAAACTCTTAAGGTATTACGAATCGCCTGAGGGAGTCTGTAGACTGGTTATCTCGCTGATCAGACGCTGGAAGGCGAGGGAGTTCTGGTTGAGCTGGCTAGTGAAAGGCTCTTCTGAGTTTCTGTTGATGCAATAATGTGTGAAGCCGTGTGGTTTTATCCGTTGCTGGTTTGCTCGCTGGGCTGCTCCGCGTGCTCCTCCTGCTCCTCTTCGCTGCTCTTGCTCACATGACAAACCCTCTCGTCTCCGCTCACCCCCCTTGCGGAAGCTCGTCCGCCAGGCGATTTTCATCATTTCCGCCATCCGCCCCCACCCTTCCCCACACCTGCTTCTGCCCCTGTTTCCGCTCAACCCAAGCATCCCAACGGTTATTCAAGTTCTGTGGTTCCTGTACCCACGCGCATTAAAACCAAATCTTTTTCCTCCACACCCCTCTAGAATCAAAACCACGCGCTACCAACTGCCTTGCCAGAGTTGTGAAATCACCACCCCAGTGGTCCCCAGCCTCTAGTCAACCTGACCTGACTCCGACCGACAGTCTTCCTCCCACTGTGTCTTCCTATCCATTCATCAATTTCACCTCAGTTCCTCACAGCCTCGAACTTGATCCTTCATTTGCACACTGTTGTCCATGTCAGCATCTGGCGCTTTTGAAATCCAAGGGCGGTGTGGCAGGCATGTTACAACCACACCCTCGTGTTACCGATTTGATTCCGGGTCATTGACACTCTGGCAAGGGATGAGGCAATGACGTGTTGCATGATGGATGCAGTTGAAAGCGATCCGGAACAAGCGTCTCCGAGGAGAAGCTCGAAGCTTGAGTTGCGATTCGGTGACATGGCTGGATATGCACCTCTCAAGTGAGAATTGGAATCCGTTTCAGCTCCATTAGGAAGCAAAACGTTCATGGACGATTGGTGAGCTTGTCAGAGAAGCGCGGACCACACACCGTGATGCACAACCAACTGCCCAAGAACAAACATTAGTGTGCCCAGATCTGCCTTCGCCCAATCTGTACAGCTTCCAATTTCAATGGGTAGCATACAAATACATGTGCATCTTTGTGAGTGGGGCAACACATAGGGAAAATGGATGTCTGTGGTTGGGGTGGGGATGGGGAAAGAGAGATGCGGATTGCGATCGAGCGAAGTTTTTGGGCCAACCAACAGATTGTGTTTGTGCCCCTTGGGCTTCAGACGAATGCAGCCCTTTGCGACAGAATACATGTGCATCGGGAGAGTATGGGGGTCACATGCAAACTTTGGAATACAGTGCCTGGTTTTGGGCAACAGAGAACAATCTAAATGTTGCTTGCCTGAAAGCAACCCTCGCCTTGCGTCCCATCTGCTGGCGATCGCAGTGTCAGCGCGCCCGATTTACCTCACAAGGACGATGCCTCCACGGCCTGGGGTTGTGGAGGCTTTCCGCGACTGGGACACGAAGCTTGAGGATTGTTTTGAGCAGCTGTTTCCAGATAGCACCTGGGATCATGATTCGGCAAGGTCGCAGATGGCCCGTCTACAGCTGCACCTTCCAGCCAGACTTGGAGGGTTTGGCATTCGATCTGCAGCTGACCTTAGCCCTCTGTCGTACGCATGTGGTTGGTGCCAGGCAGTGAGCGATGTGGCTCGGATGGGGGTGGCAGGGGAGGAACGGATGTTTGAGGAGTTTTTCCGCACGCCCGAGGCTACGACCTTGCTGGATCCTTGGTTTGCGAGAGCAGTGGAGCTGCTGCCACAGTCGGTCAGGCAGGAGATGCCACCCCTAGCCTTATGCACCGCTGACCCCCCTGTGCTGCTTTTCCCCACACAACACCGTCGCCTAGCGGTTGAGAGTCTGCAGACTCTTCGGGGTATGGCCCACGACGACGCCACCATGGCCCGTTTGACATCCCTTCAGGGCCCGGGGGCAGGGGCGTGGGTCTCCGCCGTCCCTTCGCACGAAGAGGCTACCTTCACCGCAGCCGAGTGGAGCATCTGTGCGTCCATGCGCCTAGGCCTCCCCATACAGCAGCTGATAGTCGCCGGCAAGTGCGCGTGTGGGTTTGAGTTTGCTGATCCCTCTGACCCGCATCATGCCCTTCGCTGCAAGTACCAGTACGCACCTTCTCGTGTTCACGACGCGGTTAAGTTTGTGGTGGCGAAGATAGCTAAAGGGGCGGGTGGGGTCGTGACCATGGAAGACGACACGTTGCTGCCAGGGAAGAGGGTGGATGTGGCGGTGCGGAGACTGAGGGAGGGGGAGGAGCATGCGCTGGAGGTTAGTGTGGTGGACCCTATCTCGTTGTCCGCGCAGCACCATGGACAGATTGGTCGCAAGGTGGGTTTTGCCGCTAGAGAGAGGGAAAAGCGGAAGGCGGCGGACTACAAATTGCTTCTGCAGCGACATAGGGGAGTGCAGTTTACACCTCTCATTGCTGAGACATGGGGTTGCCTGGGGGGGAGTTTTGGGCGGTGGCTTAAGAAACAGGGCGACGCGCAGATTGAGGTAGCGAAGACGAAAGGGGCGGCGAGAGCTACGGGGAAAGGTTTCTCGGCTTACTTGCTTGGATCACTTAAAGCGGCCATAGGTGTGGCTTTGCAGCGGGCTCAGGCGCGTGTGATCTTGTTGCGCGCGGCGTCGATGATGAGAGGCCCAGAGGCTGTTTCGGTGGAGCGGGATGATTTTGAGGAGGAGATGGGATGGGATGCTCCGTGGGCGGATGCGCCCTATTTGGTGGACATGCGGGTTTAGAGGGTGGGTTTAGGTGAGGGGGGTGGGGGGTTTGGTTAGATGGGGCGTATTGTTGGGGTGTCTCGTTGGGGTGTCTCGTTGGGGTGTCTCGTTGGGGGTATCTCGTTGGGGTGTCTTTTGGGGTTCCTTATGTGCTGTTCTACTGGGGTGTTCTTGAGGCTGCGTTTTCCGTTTTTCTTTCATTTAAAACTGAAAAAGATGTTCCAGCAACTTACGCTGCTCTAAACACCGGAGACAAGGTGGTTCCTGCTCCTGGTATCTCACCGTTCCAAAACAGTATTCTTCAAAAAAAAAAAAAAAAAAAAAAAACAAGGAAAAGATTCGGGCGCGATGTCGGACAACACCGACCGCATCTTTGGTCTACACCAAGGCTGGCAAAAGTTCCATTACATGGCCAGAAATCAAATTAGAATGAGAGGCTGACAATTTTATCCAAATCGAACTACACGGGCTGTCCACAAGACGCAGGCTTTGATCATGCTCACCGAGGTGTCCAGCTGCAGTGCAGTTCATTCTTCGAGGCTCTGGACGGTTCCATACGGTTGAAAGCAGCTGTTGCTTCACCTTAATGCACCGCTAACCAACACTTAGACCTCAAATGAAGTACAAGGATACGAGTTGGGCAGCCCCACAGCTT